ATAACTAGAATATCAGAGAAAAACCTACATTATTTAACTGTACAAGTGTTTTTTAGAAATAAAAAAAGGGGTATTAAAGAAACCCCCATTCCCTTACAAAGTACTTCATATTATACCCCTTTGTTAAGTGTTGCATACATAAAAGTGTATCTAAAAAGTATCTTGGTAACACATGAAAAGAGAAAAAAGTCAAAATCTGCCTTGTGTCAGTAAATAAGTGTTAAAAATCACAAACTTGCCTTTTAGAGAAACAGTCTTTACGAAAAAATCTAATCAGACAATGTACTTCATTTTCTAGTTTTAAGGTTTTGCATACCTCAGAGTGTGTCTAAAAGTATCTTGGCAAGAGAAAAAAGCCATAATCTGCCTTGTGTCAGTGAATAAGTGTTAAAATCACAAATTTATAGATAAGCTAGAGGCTATTTTAGATTTGTCAATTAGAGTTAAAGGGTTAAATAACATTTTCAAACTGCTGTTCATAGTTACTGGATACATAACGAGCCTCATCATTATCTCGATTTTCTACTTCCATTTTTATTTAACAGTGAAACGTCTTATTTTAGCACAGTCTAGTCAGAGGAGTTAATACTATTACTATATATGAAAGCAAAAATAAAACACATTTTAATTTGTTATGGTTGTTTAATTGAAAAACACACCATTCGCCACATCTTCGGAAAGACATATTACATTTGACCAAGTTAATGTCGTAGTGCATACAAGGTAATAGACTTAACGATTTGCACTGCTGCCTCTCTCCGCGTTTCATTTACAGTGATCGGTTTATCGTTCAATTCACATTGCCCAACTAGATGTTTAGGGGTCTCTTGGAAGTAAATGAATGCATTTTTTATATCAGATAAGTGCATTAACATCACTTGCAAATTCTCTATCCTTTCACCCGCAACGATTATAATCTGCTTTGCTTCTTCTTCGGTTTCACCATTATTAGCTCTGAATGTAATCCTTTCTGGGGCTTCTTGTGCTTCTTGTGGTCTGTTGAATACCTGGCATAGGATTTGTTTAGCTGTAAGGACGGGTACCACATAATTGTCTTCAAAAGCTGGAAATTCTTACAAGTTCCCCCTCCTCAAAGTTCATTCCCGTAGCACCTTTCCCCCACTGATGCTAGTGACCCCCCTTTGTATGCTAATTACCCCTTTGTTCGAGGCGTTATCACATGTAGGTGTGTTCAGTTAAACACTGAGATTTTCAACATACTACTCTACAAAATGATTTTTTCATATTCTTTTGACAAACTATACTTGACTTTTTTACGGAAAATCATGACACACTTTAATGTGACTTGTTCTTAATTTTACCATACTAAAGTAAGACTTGAAAATACTATATCGTTTTCTAGTTTTTTATATTATACATCCTTATTTATGTTAGTGTGCTGAGAAAACACAATAAGCAATAGCGTTTTAACAAGCAGTTTAAACTGTCTGTGTCAGTTTTACTTATCTCCATATTAAGTGATTATATAATATGACAGTGATCATTTCTATGTTTATTCATTGCAAATACTTAGTTACTTACCACTTGAACTGTTTAGCTCTTCAAGGTTAACTGACCTAATATATATACTTTTTTGTAGTATTGTCACCACGTTCTTAAGAATTATATGGACGAGTTGGCAGCTGCCATGGCTGGACTGTCAATCAAAAGTTACCAGTTATCAAGCGATGGTATGGACAACTTAACAGCTGACTTGGCTAGACTTACTATGAGGAGTCAGCAGGTAACAGATGAGTGTGTGAATGAAATAACAGCTGCCTTCAGAGGACTCTCCACTAATGCACAGCAGCTTCCTGTTAGTGCCTGCACTGAGAATCCTCAAATACAGAGACAAGTCACTTTGTTCACGCTCCCTGAGACCCTCAAGCCCACTAATGCCTAGGTGAATAATATTGACTTGTGTTAGTTTTACTTAAACTTACTTACATTAAGTGATCATAATATGACAGTGATAACTTCTATGTTTATGCATTGCAAATACTTAATTATTTTTTGTTAGTTCTACACCTCTCTTTATCCGCTCTCCAAGCCTCCAAGGGCGGACTCCTGAGGTCCGTAATGCCCCCCTAACATGACACTTAGACTATTTACATCATCTAGGGAAGCACACCAGTAAATGTAGCCTCATGTAACTTCATATAGGGATTCTTTAATAGTTGTGTGAAGTAGTTAAACAATAAGGGGGTAATAAGATCTTTAAATTATAATTTTCCTCTCAAAGAGACTTCGTTGTACACACACACACACAAACAAAACAACATTAAATAATGACATGATATTATAGTGATAACACATAATGTGTAGAAAGAGATGTCCTGTATGGGTTGATTGCGCGTTGATCTGTTGGTAAAATGCTCATCTATCATTTTCAACCAAGCAGTATGAGGTCAAATTTAATAAGTAATAGTTTGTCACGATTTTACGGGAAAAAGTCAGAGCGCAATGTCACATCTTAAAGACAGCTTGAACTGGATAGATGGTTAGTCTTTTTTCAAAACATACCATATGTTCTGCATGTTAGTATATTTGGCCAAATCGGGTTAGGCCCTACTGCCCCACTCCCCCAATAGGGAAGTCACGCTTTGAGAAGAGGTGTTTAATTTCACAGATCTGACTTGATGTGATGGCTGAAGTAATAGGGACGGGGGAGGAAAATTCAGGGGTGAAGAAGCAGAAAGATAACTTGTTTGTAAAACGGACAGCACTTCGGTTTCAGGAAAGATGACACATATAACTTCATATAGGGATTATTTTATTAGTGGATTTGATGTAATTAAACATAAAGAAAAAAACCAAACGCCATGGGGTCATTAAGATCTTTAATTTATTGCCAACCTCTTCAGAGAGACTTTGTTGCATTTATTACCAGATTACCCCTCCTTTCAACAAAGAGAGGCCCTTATAGTTAGTATAGTAATTAAACATTAGTTCACCATCCGTACACTTCAAGAGAGCCTCCTTAGTTATTAACCCAACTCTTATTTTTAAAAAAAAAGGCGGGGTAGGAGGGGAATACGGGTATGGGTGTGTGTGTGTGTGTGTGTGTGTGTGTGTGTGTGTGTGTGTGTGTGTGTGTGTGTGTGTGTGTGTGTGTGTGTGTGTGTGGATGGAAATCTCTCCGGCCAGAATGATATCCCCTTTAGCGCAATACCGCATCAGTTGCACCTCTTATGTGACATACAAGAATAGTGTGTGACAGACAAAAGATGTCCTATAGGGGCTGATTATGCATGGACATAAACGCTAGTAACGTCTAATCTGACGGGGGATACCCGCTGTTGCTGACGGAGGGAGACCCCGGTGCTGCGGACTATTCGACATGCATCTCTGCATGCGGTGAGCGGAACAAAACACACTCATAGATAACACACGTAGCTATTTTAATTACCTCTCAAACTACCTAAACTAGTTAAAGTTTGTTTTAGTTTTACTGTCGAGTCACTCATTATTGGACCCGCGAGCTGCATGATACTGGCGTGTTGTCAGGAGGGGGGAGAGCAGTCCGTTTATTATTCCCGTGTTATTGTAAATTACTGTACACGTTTTGAATAGTTAATTAATCTACTATAACTAGTTGGTTTAATATCGAATCATATCAGTTTGTTTCAAAGCTCATTAAATAACATAGAAGACCTTTAGCCGGCACTTTTCTAATTTTGCCACGGAAGATTTAAACTGTAACGAACATGCCGACCGGACAGGAGGGGGGAGGAGGAGGGGGTTGAGAGGGGTGGGGGCTGAGGAGGGGATGGGGGGCGACAGGGAGGATGTGAAACCTGCTGTAAGGAGGGGGTGGGTTGAGAGGGGTGGGGGCTGAGCGGGGTGGGGGGCTACCTGAGAGGATGTAACACCTGTATGTGAGGGGGAGGGGGGGTGGGCTGAGGGGGGTGGGGGCTACCGGTGAGGATGTAACACCTGTACGCGATAACACCTCGAACAAAGGGGCTCATTAGCATATCAAAGGGGGTCATTAACATAATTAGGGGGCGGGACTTAGAAGGTGTGACCTGTCACTTTTTTATGCATACTAATGAGATTGAAGCGGGATATGTACTACTACTGTTGTGGTCCATCATATGCATTCGAATATACATTTTCAACCACTTCTGTGTCAAAAGTAGCATTGTGATCCATGTTTATTAATACGTTAGACCGGCCGCTCTCCCTCATGTGACGTCACACGCGGGTGGTCTTTTTTTATGCGGAAGTAAAAATGTCTCACAAAAACCACGCCAGATGTCACTGTAGTGTTTATTTATGTATATTCTTTTGAAAATCTAGTGTATACATCATTTTCCTACACATTCATTCACTGGGGTCTCTAACCTGCAAGTTGCTCTTTAAGGAAAAATCTAACTGCATAATTCCCTCTGAACCTCCTAAAAACCTCAAATTCATCTTATATTCTCCATCATGTGTTTTAAATAAATGACATTATAAACACATGAATACAATAATTAAATATTTATATTAAAACTATCAAACACTGACAAATATGTTCAGTTTTAGCTGTTTCTCACATTTGTATGAAGCTACATGATGCTCATACTGACTGAGGAGTTTAAACTGAAGATGCTTTGGATGTATGGCTCCACTATTCCTAAATAAATATTCTCTATTTATTTTTTATCACATTTCTAAATTCATCCCGACATATTTGTCATATTTGTAAACTGTGATCTTGAGTTGAATCAGTTTCAGTGGGTTTGTATTAGTCTGGCTGCACATCATGAGTTAGTGTAGATGGAGCAGAGGTTCAGATGTGAAGTCTCCACTTTTTATTGAAGGTGAAGCACGTTGTCTTTCATATTAATGAGAGCTCTTTTCTCTTTCTGGATCTTACAGTTTTTAACCTGTCAGGATGTCCACATAAACTCCTACATTCTCTGCTTCTCCAGCTATAAACAGATTATTGAACCTTGAATATTTTAAGCTGAAACTTTGTTTTTCTAAACTTACATCATGTTTTCTTTATTCAGTCTGCAGGGCTGCAGTTTGTCAGAGATCAGCTGTTCTGCTCTGATCTCAGCTCTGAAGTCCAACCCATCCCATCTGAGAGATCTGTACCTGAGTCAGAACGCTCTGCAGGATTCAGGAGTGGAGCTGCTGAGAGATCTTCTGGAGAGTCCAGACTGCAGACTGGAGACTCTCAGGTCAGTTCTCCATCTTTAACTTCTGTGCTGAGATGAATATGTGAGAGTTGTGTTGACTCGGAGCTGCAGACATCAGGCTGATATGATCCTGATCCTCACTGAGTATCTTGATGCTAAAGTCTATTTTCTTCTTCTGTGGTTTCTTTCCCTGACAGTGGCAGAGCAATATTCAGCTTTAAATGTAAATATTATAATAAGAATTATACTCTGCATAATTCAAACTGAACCTCCATCAAGCTTTATTTCACTACATTATATAAAAGACAAATTAGTACAATTAATAAGTATTTCCAATCAAACACAAAACATATATTCAGTATTTGCTTCTTCCAACATTTTTATAAAGCTAAAAGATGCTTATACTGACTGAATAGTTTAAACTGACCATGTGATCATGTGTTCTTTATTCAGACTGAGAGACTGCAGGTTGTCAGAGATCAGCTGTTCTGCTCTGGCCTCAGCTCTGAAGTCCAACCCCTCCTACCTGAGAGATCTGGACCTGAGTAAGAACGCTCTGCAGGATTCAGGAGTGGAGCTGCTGATAGATCTTCTGGAGAATCCAGACTGCAGACTGGAGACTCTCTGGTCAGTAAGGGTTCGACTCTCTGCTGGTTCCGCAGTATTGTATTAAACAGAGGGAGGTGGAGGGGTTCCTCTCACTGGGGAATCTCTCCAGTTCCACCTTCCAGGCGTAGCCTAGCTTAGCACAACAAATCATGGATGTTACCATTTGTCTGCAGTTTCTCCTTTTGTTCATCTTGTGTTTCTTTACTTTCATTATTATCAAGCAATATAATACAAGCTGACAATGCAATGCCACATTTCAGTCAGGTGCAACTCATTAACAGACGAATGGGATGTTACAGTTAAAAAGGAAGTCTGTTTGTTTTTCTATGTTCCTGGACTAATGCCTAGTGAATTCTCTAATGCAGCTGAGAGCTGTGGGCAGTCAGTCGTAGTGTTTGCAGAGAAGATATGATGTGATGTAAAGCATTGGATCAGTCAGGACTCTGAAGCTGACTAACTCAAAGAACTAACTATTATTTTAACTTGATCTCAAACTGTTGGATTGTGTTCATCCCTGCAGGATAAATGACGAGCCAATCAGAGCCAAGATACAGAAGAACTGTGAGTACTGAACCATACCCTCCATTCATCAATATATTGTACAATACATCTGATCTTAAAAGGTATTTATAGTACAAGAATGATATAGTTTTATTCTTATTGTTCTCCGTCACCTCTTCTCTCCATCAGGTGACTCCGATGTGGAACAGGAAGTGAAGACAGACAGAAAGGTGAGAGAGGAGCAGTTGAGAGTTGAAGCTAGAACTTAACTTGATTTCTAATAAAATAAATAACTTTGTTTGTTCCAGGCTCCTGAATCCTTCTCACCTGAACACACAACTGAGTCTTCATACAGGTAATCCTATAACATGACCAAATATTATTTTAAACACATTGAAAATATATATTTATTTAATTGTGTTTCATTTCAAGTCTTTCACCTTGAGGTATTGCATCCAATCTCTTTCCAGCAGACATCAATAAGATAATGCCTCTGTGTGTAGGATTGTTTTCTTGTACCAGTCTAGATCCTCGCTGGACTAGACATTTTGTTAATTTAATGAAAATGTGTTAACACACATTCTGATGCATGTGGACACATCTTCAGTGATGCTCCTGTAATCATCAGGTGTTTCAGATCTTTCAACAAACCCTCCTCCAGGTCAGACTCCAGCTGGATGAACACCTGTCAGTCAGAACACAGGCCAGTGAAGGCTTGTTGTAGTAACTTGTCTCTTGTGTGTCTACAGGTTCAGGTGTCCTGGTCCAGGTATGTTCCAGTGTGCTTCGACTGGCCTGGTGTTCGTCATGGCTCAGGAGGCGGAGCTTCTGTACAGGGCGGCCACTTGGGATGAGAACCTCCTCCAATCAGCTGGCAAGCAGGCAGCAGGGCCGCTGTTCGACGTGAAGTGTTCTGATGAAGCTGCCGTCTGCCAGCTCCACCTGCCACACAGTGAGACAGAGGATGGTAAAGACATCTGCAGTGTTAACAAATACACTTATATAATGTTTAGCACCTTATACCATCCACTACTTTTCAAAAGTTAACTAGTTTAACAAAGACAATAAGACTGTTAACCACCAGAACTGTTGAAGCAAAATCTGTTAAACACCTGAACAGTTGAAACAACATCCCTAATATTCATCTGGCTGCTACTTAAACAAATATTTAAAAATTATTTATCTATTTACCTATATATCCTATTTCAATAACTTGCATATAGACTCTTATTGCACTATTTCACTATTTGACTTTTTTAAAACTATTTCTTTTTGTATTACTATTTACTATTTACTTGCACTATATTTTTCTGTGTATCTGTGTTTTGTGTTTCTCTGTTGGAGAAGCCTGTGACACAAGATTTTCATTGTCAGTCTGGCTGAAGCATGTACAAAACAAAACAACAGACAACAACATTTATAAGTTAGACTTACTACGCCCTAAAAGCTTTAGAGAACTCTTCACACATCTAGAGAATCACTCAGACATGAGACCGGACACAGTCAAGCTGCTCTGGCTGCAGATTACAAACATTTCAGCAGTCTTGTAAATTAGAAAATAATTACGCACGCTCACATCCAGAAAGATCACAGGGGGACGGAACAATAATTAAACATTACAAATAAAAGGTGAAGGATATAAACTGGTACATCCCAGTGAGGCTCCGAAGTGAATGACATTAGATGAACATTAGCTCTGAGCTAAAGTGGTGTGACATTGAAGATGATGAAGCTGTGTTAGCAGCAATGCAACAGATGACCAGCTCTTTGCTCCACAGCGCTGCTCCTGGACGGCCTGTTGTCTGTCGTCCACATCACTGATGAAGGCCTGAGCATCTTGGAGCCGCTGGAGGTCACACACACTCACGTGGTGGTGAAGGTGCTTCACCTCTCTCTCTTTGGCCTTATCATCGATACATTGAAAAGGCTTCTGAAGTGGCGAATAAAGGGCCAAATTCTGCTGTTCCTACGACCCCCGGGCCGAGAGGAACAAATACTGGATGTATTTCTGCTGCAGAACAACGTCCTTGAGGAGGAGGTAATGTGCTCACCATCAGCCTAAATGCTTGTTTTAAACCACAGCTGTTTCCACAGAGAAGTTGTGGCCCCAGGCTCCCTACTGAATAGAATAGAATTGGAGGGATGAAACGTTGGGTTACGTATTGTAACCCTTGTTATATTAGCACAGGCGGAGCCCTCTACTGGACCCTATGGGTACTACCCTCTATGCAAGCATTCACCTACTGAGATTTCTATAGACGTAGCCGGCCTTGGGGCGGGCCTACCTGAATGCGCACGCATCACACCGTATAAAAGGAGGCCTCGCCTCCTGACTATCATCCTACACCTCTCTTCAGCGAGCGATATAGGACAGACAGTGCCCTGAGTAGAGGGCTCCGCCTGTGCTAATATAACAAGGGTTACAATACGTAACCCAACGTTATATCTCTCACAGGCTCCGCCCTCTACTGGACTCTATGGGTACAGTGGGTGGAGCCCTGATGTATACGCGCAACAACATCATTCCACCCTACTGCCCCTGACCGGCTTTTCTGGTCAGCAGCTGCTGCCCCACATTCTCCTTTAACCCGGTTGTGACCGAGGAGAAATCTGGGCTGCGGCTGACAGAGCACACCCTGCTGCGCTTACCTCGCAGAAAGTGTGCTCAAAAAACAGTGCCGGGGGATCCCCCCCCGCCCATAGACGGATGGGGAGAGCCCACGCAGATTTAATAATGAATTCTTAATTATTTACGTGGAGTGCCACACTCTACTTTGGTTATCAAACTCGAAGTTTACCTTGATACTTTAAAATACGTAAAAAGAAACGTTAAGAAGTTGTGTCCCCAAGCTCCCTACTGAGAGAGATGATATGAGAACACGATTAGTCTCATCTTCTGTGAATCTGAGTTTACTCTGTGAACATAGGCTGATTTACTTCACACACAAAACACATACAATGGTTCTTTATAAATGAAATAATCATGAACTGCTAAGAATATATAAACTACAGAATAACATAAGTATTAAATCAATAATGTGATGATGAATGTATGAATGGCAGGTTACATAATTAACATCGACAGCAAATCAGATGGTTAGCAAATACTGAAAGGCTCAGTTGAAACACTCAACAACTGAAAGATTGAAGGGAAGTATTTTGGGAGTCCAACCCTAATCGAAGCCTTAAAGGTCCCCTATTATACTGTTTTTCATCAATACTTATAGGTCTCAGATATAGACAAAACATGTCTCTGAAGTGTATCGTGCGCACAAGATACTTCATGAGCCTTTAGGGGCTCCGTAAACAACCCTAATACATATATAAAAAAATGTGTTGGAGAATTGGAATCTCATCCAAAAATATCTAACCTATACACTTTAATTAATCTACTCACATATGTCCTCATGATGTTATTCTTAATTGATTGTAATTCTTATATCTCTGTAGAGCAGGTCTGTCAACATGTTGTTTTAAATTGATCAAAATGTCCTGTTTCTGAAGGTTGTTAAAAAACACAGTCGTGCTGTGAACATCCCAATCTCCTCCGACTGTGAGCTGGACATTGATCACAGTTACAGTGTGCACTGTGAACCTGAGGGCTTCTTCATTCAGCCTCAGGTGAGTCACTGATACTCCTCTAAAGAAACACAATGATCATTAACACACATTTATCTGCATGTGGATTCACAATCAGGAAAGATCCAGATAAACATGTAACTTCTGCTTCTGGTTTCCAGAGTAAAAGATTTGATTCCAGGTTTGGACCAAACTACCACCCGGCATTTCTAGTTTCCCTGACGACGAGCACAGAGAGAGTGGTTTTGAAGGTCAAGGACCAAGGTGGAAATGAAGTCTTGAAATGTCGCGTGTCACTGGAAGGTAAAGACTCCACCTGAGCTCAGACCCAGTGATAGACTGGATAACTCTAAAGCTCCATCTCATAGCATTCTCTATTAAGGCTCCATGGCAGCGCATCATTACTACATTAAACACACAACCTGTTATATTCTAAAACTATAAAAACTAGTGTTGTGCAGTGGTGAAACAGCGTGGCATTATGGGAGTTGTAGTCTTCAGCTTCTCATGCTTAAGTGGATACGCCGCCATTACAGGAGACCGTGATGAACGTACTGTTACCTTGATTAAAATTACACATCTCTCTGAACCATTTGCAATAATGTTTGTACACAACTCAACAAAATATAAATAATACAGTTGTAGGAGTTTTTATACATTTTAATGAGGAAATGTTACATATTATAACTTTAAGTGAACAGGAATCCACCTCTGGGAATGTCGAGTTACTTTAATTTTTAAGAGATCTGTTTAATGTGATTGTTGGTTAACAAAAGTATTTTCCCTGTTTATCTTCCAGTTCCAAGGAAGGAATTGTTCCGGAGAAATGTCCCAGAGAGCAGAGTCCCAGCAGTGAGCAGAGTCCCAGCAGAGAGCAGAGTCCCAGCAGAGAGCAGAGTCCCAGCAGAGAGCAGAGTCCCAGCAGAGAGCAGAGTCCCAGCAGAGAGCAGAGACCCAGCAGAGAGCAGAGTCCCAGCAGAGAGCAGAGTCCCAGCAGAGAGCAGAGTCCCAGCAAACCAGAGGCTGCGCTCAGTTCGGACAGAGTTCATTCAAAGAGTGACTCCAACTCTCCTGAACGACCTTCTGGATAAACTCTTTGACTCTGAAGTGATCAGTGAATCTGAAATGACGTCGGCCAGAGCAAAACCCCAAAATGACGGAGCACGAGAGGTGGTGGACGCGGTGCGAAGAAAAGGAGCTGCAGCCAGCAGGGTTCTGATCAATGTTCTCCGTGAGCTGGACCCGTATCTTTGCGAAGAGCTCAACTTGAGCTGAGGAAAAACCTTGTGGAGTGTGTGTGACAGTTGAAGTCTAGTCCTCTGTTTTGTTACCTGTACATGTTTCCACTTGTCCTTGAAGGTAACACAGATTCTGAGCGAAGGCCACTTTCCTTCTCTCTTTTCTCCTGGACTCCCTCCTGAGAGCATCTACCCGTATCGGCCTTCCTTTGGTGTTATCTTGAGTTTTTTTCAAGTACATGTTTACTTTATTACATACAATACTTTAATTTACCAGCATCCATTTCATCCTTTCACATTTTTGTCAGGCATAGGAGCCGGGTCATGACAAAAATAAGGGCTTGTTCTTATTTTACCAATTGGTACTGACTTCTGGGTAAGATTTGGGATTTTGGGGCATTTGGTACCTAGGCATGCGATTTGGAGTTTTATTTGTTTTGTATAATCAAACTGCAAAAACCTGTACCTGTTGGTGCTGGTGAATGTAAATACAATATACTTAGGTAGTGAATTAAACCCAGTGGTGTTCAGTAACTAAGTACATTTACTCAAGTATTGTACTTAAGTACAATTCTGAAGTACTTATACTTTACTTGAGTATCTCAATATCTTTGCTACTTTGTACTTCTACCCAGTGGCGGCTGGCCCATAGGGGGCGATAGGGCGCCGCCCTCCCTAAACCCAAGCCCCCAGGAAGTGCGCCGGACTCTGTGCCCAATATTCCTTGTGTCCAAATGGCGGTACTGCAACTTCCGTATCAGTCCGTGACGTTACCCGGCCCAAACATTTTTTTTCCCATTGTGTAACATGGGGAAAGAGACGTCTGTAAATCGGTGGATACTTTTTTATTAGAATCATTCGGTTGTTAAAGTTATAAAATGCACTAAAAGCCAAATCTAGATTTATTTTTTCTCTCAATTCATTCTAGTGAGCCAGGCATGATGGGTAATCTGTGACGTTTCGCTCTCTCAAAAGTTGGGCCATTTTGTCTTCATGCGCCAATGAGCAGCTCTCATAGGAAAGAACGAGACCCCGCCTCCGACGCTGTTTCCAGTTCCTATTATACATCCATGACTAAACCACACACACAAGGAAATGCTTTTCTATTTTTAAACTTATTTTAAATTGCTTGTCCTATACTGTGGCTGCTTCTCAATGTCAAGGAAGGATGCTTCAGAGCCTCCAAATAAATAATTAAAATGAACCTTGTTTTGACTTTGCCTCTTTTCTTGATATTTGTGGTTTATGCTACAATGTGCACCAAGATGTGTAAAAGAGGTTTGCAGACATCAAGTATGATATATGAATACACATTGTATTATTGATTGGTGATGGTGATTTTATGATTTTCTTATGGCTGCTTATCCTCCAGGACTTTTTCAAGGCTGCAAACAGAAGGAGAACGTGTTATGTTAGTTTAGTGGTTCTGTCCTGGAGAGATGATCCTTTTACAAAATACAGTTACTCAAGTACATCTTCGATCTTCGCAAATCAGTTATGAGTCTTCAAACAAATCGCGCTCAATTTAAGGCGGGGCCTCTCATATGACGCACACCTGCACACCTGCTAGCCTGTTCCATTCTTCGTTCTCCGAATGCTAGGAAGGATTCTTGCCTCTGAAGGACCTGACTCGGAAGGACATGTCCTACGAAGGAAGCGTCCTCGACTTTGAGAAACAGCCCCTGTATGAGTATGACTGAAGCAAAGCCCTATAAAGAGACCACCACGTGACGATCAAGCATTTTGGACTTCCGCTGTCGCAACTCTTTCAGTTCTAGGGCTTTGGTACAACTTACTGCTTATGAGAAAGAAACAGATATCCAGGCTCCTGTCGCCATCTGGTGGTGAAGAGAAGAGCAAAGAGGGGCAAACACCTGTCTGCAAGGTTTCTATTTCATGTTCAGAAGCAAATCATTGTGTTGTTTTATTGCAATGTATAAAAGGTTAAACAATAACAAAGCACTTATATGTAAATACTGATTAGAACAACGACTGGACTTTATACTTGGTTTGTGTATATGTGAATCGACAACAATAATTAAAATGTGTACTTTAGTCGTGTTAACAAATACAACACAACTCAAATATGCACTCACTGCAGTTCTTATAGTATACATATGGATTTAAAGTCTTGTTTCTTATGTATATTGTTTCCAAAGAACAGGGGTATATCATAACTATGCAATATGTCACGAGTAATTATGGATAAGGAAATACTTTTTTAATTACAGTGTATATTTAGTCAAATATATTTAGCCACCAATGCGTTTTTTGCTCATTGCAGAGAGCAGAATTAAAATCCTTCAGCGTAGAAATGTACCCAAGTACAGAAATAAAAACAAAGCAAGTCCTGGTGACCTGAAGCTCATCAAACCAAAAGGTACAAACTGGTTCATCAACACTTTGACCAAGATAGAGAAACTATGTTTTAATCTTGTATTCATGAGTTTATTTGATCAACTTGGAAAACATGATGCATTTATATACAAAACTAAAAGAACAACACACGTTCTTAAATGATTGGTTTCTTTATTATTAGGTCCACCATTTTGTACACAACAGGAAAGCATGGATTTGATCAACAATATATAGACATATTTAAAGTGGGGAATCAGAAGAGCTCATCGTCATCTCGTTATACATCCAAGGACCTGAGGAGAGAGGAGAAGGAGACATGTTCAGATGAGAGGAAGTCAATATCCTTCATGAGCTGCTGCACATTTTAACACGCATTAACTTCCTAAATTCAGAATCAAGTTTATCACCAGGTACACACAGAGGGATTAGCTCTGGTGTATTGTGGTGCAAACATAAATAACTTCAGACCATAAGTTGCAAAAAGAGGTCAAAAATATACATTTAAATACAAAAGAACCTAAAAAACATAAAAACTAAAAGACTTGGAACACTGAATATATGTCAGACTACTGTGTGGTATATTTTAAGATAAGATCAGATAAGAAGAACTTTATTGATCCCAATGTGGGAAATGTTTGCGTTGCAGCAGCATGAAAAGACAAGGCATTGAACATTAGAGAAATTAAAAGACTAGATATATACTTTAATTTAGCCAGGACTGGATTATTAAATATGAGATTGAATATAAATGTGAAATGTACAGTGTGAGTTTGAGTCCAGTTATCAAGAGAAGGCTGTGCAGACGTTCAAACTCTAAGGTTTTATTGTCATATGCACAAAGCTACAGTGTAGACATGGCAATGAAATTCTTCTGACCTGAGCTCCTCCAACAATGCAACATATATAATGAAGTAGTGGCTATTTCCTTAACGATGAATCAAGTATTCAGATAATTGTCTGTATTTTGACTTGACTTCTCCCAACACACATTGCGTTCAGATATCTGTCCTGTGGTGCTGTGTACCTATTATTACCGTATACCGGTCCTTCTCTTCTGTTGTGAGACTGTAGAAAGAAAAGCTCCTTTACCTGTCTTTGAAGACACGCTTTATTTTTCTCAGGAGTGCAAAACCCTTTTCTTTTGGATAATTTGTTTTCTCCTGTTTTTACGTTAGAGTAGGTAAGAAGCCTGTACGTTTATTTTTCTCATTCGTTAGGTAAGAGTTTTGTGTTAAAAGGTTTGTTTGTTTTGTGGTTTTGTTACTCCTCTTTGTAATCATTTTGGTAATTACATTTACCAAACGACATTCTCTGTCTCGGCCTCCATGTTCTTGGGAGTGGGAAAAGTGGGGACAGTGCAACTTTATGCTGCGCCTAGGTTCCCCTAGACCTGGGCGTAACATAATTAAACTGGGATCGATTGTCTACTATCGATCCCAGTTTCTCAAATTCTCTCAAAATGTGGATTTCTCAGACTAAAACCCAAAGATATTCACTGTGATCTGATATAACACCCAGTGAACAGCACGTTGTTTAGATTTTAGAGACTTCAAATAGCAGTTTCCTTAACGATTAATCAATTATCAAGATGTTTGTCGGTATTTTTTTGCCTAGCGTCGATCCCAGTTTCTCTATTTCTCTTGAAATGTGGATTTCTAAAGAAAAAAAATGAATGAAATTCTTCTGACCTGAGCTCCTCCAACAATGCAACATATACAATAACATACAAAATAGAGCAAGAAGTCTATATACATGTAAATAGAATATGTACAAGAACAGAATATGAAATGAAATAATGTACATTAAGACCAAATTAAATACGGTTTATTGCGGTGATAACTATTTATATAAATAAGTAGATTGCAAGATGACAGATGAATGTTATGGATGTTCTTCACAGAGCTCAGGTGTTTAACAGTCTTACTGCCTGTGGGATGAAACTGCCTGAGGTATTTGAAAGTATGTGAGTCTATGTAAAACATGTGTGGACATGTCGATCATCAAATCCATAATGGTGGTGTCTTTAAACGTGTCGTCGTATCAGTCCAAAACCCAATGATATTAACTTTGATGTGATATAAAACAGAGCACATGCATTCATTCTATCTGTTCAGACTGTCTGGATGCACCAATCTGACTTTCCTTTGCAACTAATGCTTATGTTTCATTATTTATTAATCGTTTGGTCTGTAACAGGGATGTCCAAACTACGGCCCGGGGGCCAAATGCAAAAAGTATAATGGCATGCGGCCCACAAAATGAAACTTGAGCTTGTCTTGTATTGTACTTCTTAAATATATCTGTAAACATATGTTACACAGTAGTGTTCATGTGTTAATGAGCCCACTTTCAGTCAATTACAAATATGTTCTAACAAATCTAAGTTGATAAGAGCCCAATAACTTATTGAAATAACGACCCTTCCTATTTCCTCTTATGATGAGCAATCTGAGGCTTCTCTTTTAAGGAATGAGCTGCTAACAAAATGAATGAAACCCTATGGAAAGCTGTCATGTAGGCTGCAGCATCATTTACTGACATTTGATTGGTTTAGCTAACTTATAACTTCACTTATGAGCCAATAAACCTCTAGTGAGCGGCCCAGCCCTTCGAATATTTTTCTGTATGTGGCCCTCAGAGAAAAAAGTTTGGACACCCCTGCTCTATAACACACTGAATATATGACAGACTACCTTGTGTTATATTTTAAATTGGAGGGCTGTGCAGAGACGTGTGCAGAGATGTGCTAAATACATGTTTTAATGAGTGGATTCTCAGATATTTCTTTTTGAGTAACTGGTTCGTGCTTTTTGAAGAAAGACATGTGTGTTCAGTGGCGACTCGTCCTCAGGGGCAGCCCCACCTAGTGTCAGCAGAAAGTCATGAAAATAATAATAATTCCAAAAATATGCAAAAAGAATATATGTTCAAATATATGTTAAGATCATGTTTAATCATCTGATTCGTCTGTGCATTGCTGTTTTAGTCTGCGTTCTTCTACTTAGTGTCTACAGTGTGCCTATTGAGCCGTTTTGAGCGATGTGGGTCAAGCCCCGATCTAGCCCCTCTCTCTCTCTGTCAAAGTGAATGGGTTCTGTAAAAACTACACTGCGCATGCTCAGAGTCTTTTTCTATTCAATGTGTGCGGCAACAAAATAATCACCGGTGGGGCATAGTGCTGGCAACCCCACCAAACGTCATCTCATACTTCAGAGCTGATTGGCTGTAAGTACGTGTGCCGCGAAAAGTGTAGTTGTGAAGAGGGGACGAGAGAGAGCAGCGTATAGCGATTACAATCAGTAACAAGGAAAGAAAATGAATGAAGTTGACCCTCTACTTCAGCTTTGGTAAGTTCATTTGATGTCATATCTTTTGTTGATCTTCTGTGTTTTGCCTGTAGGCTATTGCTCTGCTGGATCCATTGATATTGTGACCTCGTGATGAGTGTCTGTGTTCCCCCCCCCCCCTCTCTCTCTATCAGAACCACGGATAGCCTACAGCTATTTGTTTACGTGTTTAAAAAAGCACCAGAAGCTATACACATCTAAGTTGTTCGTGCCCCTCCACTTTTGCACATATAAAAACGCCACTGTGTGTGTTTCAAAATGTCAAAGGCAGACATTTAAAGGGCAGATTTCAGTAACCGTGGGAAACTGACTCCAACACATTGATTGAAACCGATTTAAAAAGTGAGTTACAAAGAAGAGTAATTAGTAAATAGAGCAGGGGGTGGCCAAACCTTTTTCACCGAGGGCCACATACAGAAAAATATACGAAGGGCTGGGCCCCTCAGTAGAGGTTCATTGCCTCATAAGTTCATTTATAAGTTAGCAAAACCAATCAAAT